TTTACGCAATTGCAAAGCTTGCAAATCGTATACACGGCGTTTAGGTGGAGGAGTGTTTCCTTTTGTCATGGGAAAGTACGTATGGTCGATCGGGACCGTGACCGGTATTTTCCAGCGTACGCGTCCGATACGTGCTCCGTTGCGTCGAATGATGCAGTTAGATCGATGCAGCCTGCACACTAGCTCGGCCCGGTCGGCCAGAAGCTATTTATGTGCCCGGTGCTTCTGAATCTTTTAGCGTGTGACGCACTTCGGGGACTATCTGGTGCACGATAATCGATCCTATCGTTCGCGGAGATGAGATCTGCTGATCGGTGAACTTGTTCGGTAGGCGCGTGGGCGTACCGCGTTTCAGGTGGCCGGTGTCACGTTTCCCCGGTGCTCGATCACCCCGCGTACATACTTCACCTACCTAATAGAGAGAGAGAGAGAGAGAGAGAGAGAGAGAGAGAGAGAGAGCGTTTTTCATTTTTCCAGCGGGCGAGAGCTACGAGGAATCGTTTTTCTGCCGCTCTAATGATTTCCAGTCTCGTTCCGGTTTAATGAAAAAAACGTCGAGTTGTACGTACATATGTGCCTTTTAAACCGTAACACGAGCGCGACTTTGCGTATCGTTGCGTAGCTGTGGAAACGTCGCAGCTTAGGCGAGGTCGAGCCGCTCAGACACGCTGGTTTTAACAGTTACAGTCAGGGAAAATGTTCTGCCACGAAAAACAGTTGACGTTGCCTGTTCGTGCAACTTCTTGAGAGAAATCGTGCGACATCTCTCAAAAGCGAATTTTCTAATCTCCCCTCGACTACATTTACGGTCGGAGTTTTCAAGTATCTTTGCAAGTGTTTTACAAGCTTTCTCTCGACATTTTTTTTTTTTTTTTTTTTTGGCGAAAGATTTGCGAACATTCTGGAAACGTTTTTCTATGAATTGCACATACTTTAGAAATACATGGTCCAAATTAATTTTTCTTTTTGATTCTTCTACGATGAAAATTCCCGAACAAATACTTTTCAAACTTTTAGCAAGAATTGTAACAATATTCTGGGAACTTTTTCTACGAATTGCAACATATTTTAGAAGTACGTCTTCCAGATTCCTTTTTTCTCTCTTCTTTCACGATCAAAATCCCCGAGCAATGCTCTTGAAACTCTTAGCGAAAATTGCAACAACATTCTGGAAACGTTTTCTACGAATTGCAACATATTTTAGAAATATATTTCCCAAATTCCCTTTTTCTTTTTTCAATTTTTCTACGATCAAAACTCCCGGGCAATGCTCTTTCAGCGAAAATTGTAAAACGTATTCTGGAAAAGCGTTGTCCAATTTCATGACGCTAGAGTAAAGAGACATTTTGTATCAAAACGTGTCGGCAGCTTAAGTGGGAAAACAGATGGCAAAGTGTATCCCGAGCAAGATCGTCCAGCGAGCAATTTTCTCCCTCTCTCGGCGAATCGAAAGCTTTCATTTTTGCTGCGGCGCGGTCCGAGATACTCGAGACGACAGGGTATATCCAGCCGCGGATCTGGGTTAAGCGAGGATCATCCAAGTCACGCTCCTTATAACTTGGATTGAAACATCTCGCCTCGAAACTTGATCGATTTCATGGTTTGTACACCGAGGTGAGACATCCTGAATCCCTGCTCCGGTCGAGATTCTCTAAGTCGACTTCTCCTCGCTCGATAGTAACGAACATCTCGAGCACTCTCCAAATTAGAACAGATTTCGAGTGCTCGAAATCCTTTGGTAATTCGCTTTGAATTAAAAATTTGCAAACACGCGGCAGTTTTTTAGCGAAACACAATGCAGCCTGCAGTACCATCGTACACTCGATTCTTCCAAATATTAATTTCATCGTTTGAACGACCAACATCTCCAGTAAATAAATCCGAAGATCGTTGACTCGAATACGTACGAGCGGGCGTGTATGTATCGGATATACGTGGCTTCCATAAATATGCGAAATTTCATTTGCATTCGCGGCACGGCGGCAGACGGCTGCGAAATTTCGAAATTTACGAAACCCATCGGCGAATCGATCGGTCACCGGGTTACGATATCGGCCCCGATTTGCCGGGGCGCAAGTTACGTGTACGTGTACGTGTACGCGCGCGCGCGCGCACGTACATAATCCCATCGTGGCGCGTTTCCATCGAGCGATTTTCACTTTCCGCGAGTCACCGGCGTATCGATCGGGAGTGCGCGCGGTTGTCGCGGCCGGACCGATGATCAATCGCCGGCGTTGGCACTTTTACGCGTTCTGGCATTGAAAAATCGATCGATAATTGGCCGTAGACGGCGCGACAGCCACCGGAAAGTCCCGATTAAGTTGCCGCGATTATCACGCTCGATAGCGATATAGTTGCATTTTAATGCGTGCCCTGTTATTTGCATGATTATAGGTGTTACACGCGGTTATAAAGCGTGCGGCAGCACGTGGGTATACGCGATCGAGATAAAGGGAAGGTTTGCCGGTGAACACGCTCGTGATTGATACCGGAAACACGCGTGAAGATGTCGATCAAAGAAGCCGAAGATACCACTTTCCGCACTTTTCACGAGTGAACGTTTCCTTGGTATCCAGCGCTCGATGCAAATACAGTTCGTTCCGGTGAGTTTTGGTAAATGTCAATGAACCTGAGCGCTCACCTGAGCGTTTATTCAGCGAAAATACGAATATTTTTGAAAGAACTCGTTGGGGCGCGCGCGTAACGAGCGTGTTGTAAAACCATACGATTTGCATACGGATTGGAAAGCAAACGAATAAATCAGAGCGGAGTGTCCAAGTTGATTTTCTTGCATCATCGACGAAAGTTCGTTGGATCGTTCGGGAGATATTTAGTCGGAGTGTTATTAATTAAAGAGACTCCTCTCAATGAAGATTTCTTTCGAGTGAAACAATCCTTTAGGTGAAACGATTAAAACTATTGAAAAGTTGTCGTGAAAATTGTCCCTCTTCGTAACCGAGAACATCTTGCTTTTATTCGGTTTCCCCACAGTGCGTAACGTTAAATCGTAATCTTCAGTCTCGACCTTGGCGAACGAGAAACATCAGCGGCCCAGTTTCTTGTCTCTTGCGTATCACGTTCGTTTCCATCGACGTACCAGCGAGGAAGAGAAAGAGAGAGAGAGAGAGAGAGAGAGAGAGAGAGAGAGATGAAGAAAGACTAGGTTAAAAAAGAAGCATTCCAAAGAGAGTCGATTCCATTTTCCACCCCATCATCTCGTGTCTGTCTCATTAGCACTTCGAGTGTGTGCGTGAGAGACAGAGGGACAGAGAGAGAGGAGAGAGAGAGAGAGAGAGAGAGAGAGAGAAAGAGTGTCGAGGTGGCGTCGCAGAGAAAGCCAAGCGAAGCCCAGCTGAATGCAGCTGCAAATGAGGAGCACCAACGATGCTGCTGCGGTGGTTGTCTGTCTCTAGCTATAGCTGTGTTCCCCTCTATGAAAGATGCAGAAGCTCTAAATGAAGAGCTTGGTCACTGGAATAGCGTTGGATATCAGGGACGACGTGGAAACAGGCCGAGAGGAGGCGAGCTTTGATCAGACCGTACCGTCCATCTTTCATTTCCCTCCGCTGGACCGTGTATTCGTAATTCTTTCTGACGCGAATCGCCATAGTCGGAATAAATTAGGCTCCCTCTCTTTCTCTGGGTGAAAGTTTTTCGCGTTAAAAGTAGGCGTAACACGTTTCCCTTTACGCTCTTCGCGCTAGTTTCTCGACGGCAAATGAACGCGGACCTAACGCCGGATAGATAACATTATAAATGATCACGGTGCACGTTATTGCGTAAGTCTGAACGCAACGTAACCGACAGAGTGAATTACAGAGAGATTAGTTGCAGAGTGATCGTAGTATGGAAAATAGAATTTGTTTCGATCGGCGAATAGCTGTTGATGCTGTTACAGCCGCGAGAAACGCGCTGATGCGCGAGCGTAAGGTAGCGTAACGTTGTGCAACGCCCGGGGAGAAGTATTAAAGAGAAGCATTCTCAGGCGACCGTCCGCCACTATTCACCTTTTACGAGTTTCTGCGTGTTTGCCGTAGGTTTGTACAAAGCATCCTATATCCGAGGATATTGCTTCCTGAGATTTTCATACGTGACGACACGTTGTGCAACATCCATCACATCCCGTGTATTTGAACGGCGTAAAACGTGGATAGAAACGTCGCCAGGGGATTCAATAAACGTAAATTTCAACGATGCGCTTAGTGACGTGTGTCCTTTATGTTTCACGGAGATAACGTTAGAGACTGTGTGTATATAAGCGAGGTACCTTTCGACGCGCTTCATCGAAACTTTCCGAAATTCCAAAAAATTCCAATGTCGGATAAACGGAAGATAACGAAAACTCAAACACTCTCTGTCTGCCCCACCGGGGCAGATAATAGATAAGCTCGAGAGTGTGGCCGAATTACTCGACATCGTTGTACATAGTATGTAGTATGTATCACAGACTTTATTATTCATATCCTTGAATGTTGCGTTAAACTTTGTGGAAGAAGTAGAAAATCGATTCTGACTCGAGTCGAATGGAAAATTCGTCGTTTGCGGGTTCGATCGTTCGTGAGAGAATTATTCGATTGGAGCTTGCATTTCCGCCAGGCCACTCAGAAAGATTCGATTCCTTTCTTACGAAACGGTACCAAAAAACCTTAACCTTGATATACAAACTGGAGTACCTCGTCCCACGCTCCACGCCTCGTATTCATAAGCTGCTTCAAGTCTACTCCTGTAATAATGATACCCGCTGCTTATCACTTTCCAAGCGACAGTGGTATCAAACACCTTGACCTTCGTCTCGAGTGGCTCTTTTCTTTCCAAGCTTCTTCGAACCTACCGCAACGACCATGCTCGCGGACTTTTCTAAAGCTACCATTCTAACCTCTCAATTAATTTCAATTATCCAGTTTCGCTCAGTGCGCTTCCGACACCTTGTTACGGAAGATGAGGTGAAATTCTTTTTTTCGTTCCACGAGACACAGAGAGACTTCACAGAGTCGACTTACCGGATTGTTGGTGAATGCCGAGGTGGACGCAGCGGTAGGATGATGATGATCGTAATCCAGGTAATCGTCCCGACTCCTCTCCGGGTCGTCCCTGTCGTCCCTGATGTCGCGGACGTCCCGGAAGTCCCGAAAGTCCCGTGGGTCCCTGATCTCGTGTAGGTCCCGAAAGTCGCGGAGGTCGCGTTCTCGGAGGTCGCAACGGCTCACGTGGTCCCGTTCACCGCGAAGCTGTCTCGACATCGCCGTCGGCTCCTCCTCCTGCGAGTCGAGCAGCAGCTGCTCGGCTCCACCGCCACCTCCTCCACCACCGCCTCCGCCACCTCCAGCACCACCTCCGCGTCGGGCGGGATAACGCCGGAGGTCACACCATCCTACCTCCTCCCCCGCCCCTCCGGCGACCTCGCCACGGGGCAACCGAGCCGTGCCTGGGGCCCTCACGACCGATCTGCCTCGAACCTCCTGCCCCCGCGGCCCCCCGGGGGGCTCCACCACATCACACCCAAACGCTACGCTTCTTGGACCCCTCACGACCCAACTCTTCTGCTTCCACTACGCACCACCCTCTCTCCCCTTTCCTCCCTTTTCCTCTCGAGCTCTTTTCTTCTTTCCTTCTTCCCTTCCCTTCTCTTCTCTTTGCCTCGAGTTTTCCTTCTCCTCCTCTCGTTCGTTTTATTTATTTTTTAAGGGAGGATTTTCTTTTCGATTGATTTTTTTTTTTTTTTTTTTTCTTTAATGGATTATTGGCACGGAAGCTGGCTGGCTAGAGGCGAGAGAACGGCGATGGACCAGCGGAAGTAGCGAGAGAGTGGCGGCTGAAGTTGACGCGCTTGACGAAAAACGGTTTCGAGTGTCTGTAAACAGAGGTTGGAGGGTTAGCGGGATCGATTCAAATCAAGAGTGAAGGTTCGAGACGTTTCGACGGATTTGTTTCTCCGACCGTTTCTCGCTTGAATTTCTTTATTATCAATTTCATTTCGAAAGCACGGCGAGCGTAAGAGAGACTGGTTCGAAACGTTAATGTTTAGGGATGTAATGGAACAGATCAACGCGAAAATGCCCACGTACATACATATAATAACTATGTTCGATACTTCACAGCCTACGATACGTGACGCTGTCACGGCTACGTAAGATGTAAATTCAATTTTTCACCGGCGGTTAATTCAATTAAAATTTAACGAACCGACATATTTTGACACAATGACACGTGTTTCTGTGTTGTCCCGTGCCGCGTGCTCTAACCGACGTTTCGTCAACGTCTTGCAAAGTTTACATTTCTTGCTCGAGCGGAATTAATTAAATCGTTTCCGTGTCAACGGAAATTTCTGTCAAATTTCAGCATGAACATCACGGGTCGACCGGCGTTTGGAAAAATTGGAATTTTAAAAATTTATTTGCTCAAATATTTTTCAATGTTAGCGGTGCAGAAATTCGACGCAAAGTCTCGTCGAAATTCGATCGAGAAATCGTTTTCATTCGTCGCACGATCGAACGATTAGCGCGACGATGGTCGAAATAATAACAAGGTCGAGCCTCGATTCGTTAAATCGATGATCATTAATTAACGCGTCACCGGGGAAAGACGCGGACCGTTGATAGTGATAGACGCGGAACTTCTCTCTGCCAAGGTCAAACCCGACCATTCGGGAAGTTATGGCTGCTCTGCACCGTTACCTTGAGAGGCTAGCGCAGAACGTGACGTGTCTCCAACCTAGGAGAACCTCGTAGTTACTCGGCCGCGAGTATAATGAAATACGCGGATGGGAACGCGTTCCGACGCGACAAGAATCGACGCGGCAACTGCCGTGAAATGAAACGATAAACCGGTGCGTAAAATCCTCCACTGACGTTCCGCCGACTTTCGTAGAGGAGAGAGGGTGGCAACGCAAGCTCGCATAAGGTGGGGGCGAGTTGAGGTTAGGTCACGCCGCAGACCGCGAATGTAGGGTTGTGGGTCGCGCCCGGTCGAGCTCAGCTGCGCTGCGACCTAAAGGGGTTGCGGCTTGTCTCTGGTCAGACACGCCACAGGCCACTCGATCGTTTCCCTTTATTCCCTCTACAGAAGATGCCTCTAACGAACCGTCTCTGTAATTTCCCCTTCGATCTTGCCCTGTACTTTGATCCAAGGCTAATGCGTAAAGTAAAGAGACCAGTATACGCGACAAGTAGAATGTGGCCGTCACGAGTCAGACCGAGAGTCAAACGCACTGACGCGAGTATCGTAACGCTGTCGCCGCGTCATTTTCCGAGACAGTTCGATGCTGTGAATGAGACAACGAAGAACAAGGACCAGTCCATCCTGTGCGACGAGCTACGATCTGAAGACACGAGCGGAACACCGTACGGACAGAGAGTCAAGGGTGACCACGGTACCCTACGGTCATTCCCCGAAACTTACTCGATCCTCTGTTCGACCCGGAATCTTCGTACCGGGATCTTTCCAGTCAAAAGACGAACACACCACTGGGGATCACTTTTTCGCGCGCGGCTCACCTACTTCACCGCGAGCGGGCGATCGATCGGGAAACGCGTACGCAAACGACGGCTGATAGAAGGTAGAAATCTAACGCGGCGAGACTGGCTGACGACGTGAACGAACGATTTCCGCGTGGACGATCCGGCGGCAAGAAAGTGTCCACGACGTCGAAACGACGGTGACGGTTGGGGCCGTGCTCGCGTCGACGGCTGCTGCTACCGCGGCTCGCGCTACCTCGGCCGGTCTCGGTCGGCCTCGTCCTCAGTCGGTGTTGCTCGGCTCTTGTATCGTGACGTCGCGCGGGGACGCGAAAACCCCGGCGGTCTAGAGTATCGATCGCATGCGCCAGCGCACGCGAGCTACGCTGCGACGCGTCAACACGCGCCTTACTCGACTGACGCGAGGGTTGCCAGACACGTGGTTGCGTTTCCGACGTTCCACAACGTCGTCTTTCTTTTCTCTTTTTTTCTCCTTCGCAGCATCTAAACCTAAGCGGGAGAGAGAGAGAAACAGAGAAATAGTCTCGGTCCGATTGTCGGACGAAACGTCGATAGAAGGTGAGATGAAAAGGGGGTTGTTCTATAATGTGGACTGCTGCTGTCTCTTAGGAGAGTCTAGGTGTCAAGGGATGACCTTGCAACAGTAGCGTCTGATAGTCCTGCAGCCTATTCTTAGAGCGTCATTTACGAAGATACTCAGATACGATTGATGAAATTTTCAATAGGAGAACTCTATCAAATGTTTCTGCGATGTAGGAGATAGGAAGAAACGCATCTGACATCTTTCGTACTTCCACCTAGATTCGTCGATTTCTTTCGCTCCGTTTATCATTCGAATAGCAGATGTAGCTTCACACTTTTCGTCGATGGACCAACACCTGCACCTCGCAATGAACAAACCTGCATCGGTCTCTGTAGCGACGTTTCTCTTTGGGATCGTCGAGTAGCGTACAATCGCGAATGATTGAAACAAATTACAAACTACAAAGATTCCTCTTATCGTTCGATGCGCTTTCGTTTAAATTACACGTTATCAAGTTACATTTAACGCTACGAATTGAGTCGACTGAAAACGAAATTCAACTCGAATACCTGACCGTGCTGTTCAAAGCTCGTGGCGTGAAATGGAGATGAAACCACCACCAATGGCTCGTCGGACAGGCCGACATCTGACGGAGGGTGAAAGAAACGCCACAAGAGAAAATAGCTCGTGAAAGAGGAAACGAGTCTGCAGTTTTCCGCGAGAGCCACCCCCTCTTCGTGATTTCGCCACGTGCAGATCTCTTTACCGACCTTCAGTGATAACATTCCCCGCGGGATTTACTTCGAACGACCAGCGACTCTTGACAAAAGACGCACTTACTCTCGGACGAATGGCCACGTTCCAATCGAACGTTATTGATCGTAAAACAAAGTGCTCGGAGCGTGAAGTAAGGCGGGAGCAACGTGCACTATGCAGTGCTGCAGACTGGTGGCTGGAATTAGAACGTTGTTTCTCTGAACGATAATCGTTTCGAGTGGTTTTGAGAACAACGTGCTTTCCTTTGGCTTTTTCGAATCTTCGGGTAAGACGCCATTTAGCAATTGCTCGAGGAAACCATGATTTTTAAACGGAACTGCGACCGATCGAAAAGGAGGAGAAAAGAGAAATCGAAAGGAATTTCGCACCCCAATTTCCAACCCATAAAATAATGAATTTTAAATTGTAAATGTTTATCATTACAAAACGGAAAAGAAACACCCAAGGGTTCTCGGTTCCCAATCCCGTACTAGCTTCTCCCGAGCTTCCCAAACATAAACGGGAATATCCGTCAAGTTTCCCCTTCGAAAGTCATCCATCCCCATAATAGGAGCAACCCTTGCTACCTGTTCTAGCGCGTTATCCGATCATCGATCAACCGCGATGAGGAAGATGGTCAGACAGCGTCTGTCTGGCGACACGAGGAGCGTCGCGTAGAGAGACTTCCGGTCGGAAGCGAGTGTCCGAAGGTAGCGCGAGGCGCGTGTACCGAGCGAGGCGGGTCGGGCGTACGAGCCGGTCTCGACAGCAGCACGGTTAGCTCTCGGCGAGCAGCGGCGTTCGTCATCTCCCCGCAGGCTACGCCGTAAGGTGGCAACGTTGCTGTCGCGCGAGAGTAGTTTGGAGTCAGGCGCAAGGGGCAATGCTACCGCTCGCGCTAACAATACACGCTGGTAGGGGAAGGCTATAGAGCGCTCTAGTAGCGTGGTAGCGTGTATCCCCGCGTGGTGGGGGTGAGTGTTTTAACGTGAGACGTAGAGCAAAACGCGTGGTGGGGGCAAGTCAACAGGCCGCGTGGTGGGGCGAAAGAGTGGCAGAGCGTGAGAGGGAGAACAACGGAGCGAGCAAGAGAGCGGCAGAAGGCGGAGAGGGAGAGAGCAGGAAAGCGGCAGAAGGCGGAGAGGGAGCGAGAGGCCGCCGAAAGCGTATAGCGGCCCATAATTCGGTGCGCCGCCCCGCAATCAGGTTCGTGCTCGATGTTTCTAACCGCCTCGCTCGTCGCAGCCGGGAGAGTGAGACGGTAGTGCACGTTTTTACGTTTGCTCGTCAGCTCCGTTGATCAAGCATACCACAGTCCGCGATATAGAAATCGGAGTAAACGCGGAGTTTTACGAGCCGGCGGTCTGTTCTTCTGGTATTCGTCTCGTTTCTCGTTTCTCGTTCGTTCTCCCCCGACGAATCCGCGGTGTCATTGTTCTTGTTGTTTACCCAAGTCCGAGAGATAGACGCGGCTCTAACTCTTGGACATCTCGCTCGACCGGTTCAAACGATAGTTTAGTCGTCGTTGTGAGAGAGCAGCGGGAACCACGTTACGAGCGGACGTGCGGAAAAGCCGGGAAGCTACTAAATCTAAGGGCTCGTCCCTCGCCAGAAGACACGGAGGGACAGAGACGAGTGTGAGAGGGGAAAGCCTGCTAGAAACACCGCACCGGGGAGGAAGAAGGAACGCAGTGGCTCGCAATAGAAGCGCGCGTCAGTCAGTCAACCAGTCGGCCATTCAGTCAGTCAATCATTCAGTCCCAGTGTGCCGGTTCTACGTTTCGAAACGTTTTATTCTCTCTCTGTTTATACTCGCCTTGAGTTCTTTAATGGTGGCTGTCCGGTGTGTTTTGCTGGCAGCCGACGACGATTCTTTGTACGTAAGTGAAAATGAGAAGTAGAAGCAAGCAGCGCGCCAAGGCTGTCTGAAAACGAGAATCTCTTCTGGGTGAACCTCATCGCTGCTACTGATTTTGTGTACCATCGTTCTTTGAGACACCACCGGAAGCGTTTACACGAGGCGTTCACAATCGCTGGCCACGCACACGCTTTGCATCGGAGGAAAATGTGCCGCCACGGACACGGCCAGTGAATTAATTTTTTATGTGATGATTTATCTTTCTTTTCATTTCTTTTTTTTTTTTTTTCTCCTTTACGTTCACACAATTCGTTGATTGTTGGTGATGATTGTGCTGGTTCGCTGATGTACGCGCCTCCACGTCGTGATTAAAAAAAAGAAAAAAAAAAAACAAAAACGCGGTGGAGGAGGAGGAGGAAGAGGAGGAGAAGAAGGAGGAGCTGGCGTCCATCCTTAGAGAACATCTCTCGTCGTGTCTTCCTTCCCCCTTCAGTTTTGGTCCACGTAGTCATGTAAATATACGAAACCGAAAGAAACGGACACATGCATGCTCTCTGAAACCGCGTCCCATGAGCACGTGTGTGCACGTGTACGAAGAGTACGAGCGTGTTATGGCCACGACGCGGTACACGGCTCTGATTATTAACGAGTTATTACCGCGATACTAATTAAGTTTAATCGCAAGGCCGCCGTTCGTTAAAGTTAATTGCACGATCGACCACGGCCCACGTCGTTAACTACGCCGTTCCTGCTTGCTGCGTAGTCGTGCTTTTATAGAAATTACGCGGATTCGATATTTCGTCTGCCAGAACGCGCGAAAATCCATCTCGTTAAATTTCATTTTATTTTTTTATTTTTTTTTTTTTTATTTTTTTTTTTCCCCACCTCTGCCAAAATCGAGGTCGGCGGCAGCAGCGGATCGAAAATCGTTCGAACTCCACGTTTCACGTTACATGGAAATTCTTCCGCGATACGCGATCCGTGCTCCCGGTGTAACCGTGTTGCAAAGAGTTGCGTGAATCGCAATTGCACCAGTACGTGTCACGAGGCTCGTATTTCTCGCGGTTTCGAGCCAACACGGTAGCCCGTGTACACACCATCGACGTTTCTCTCCTCACAAGTACGCGCGTGCACACGTACACACGCGATCTATCTATCGATCGATCGGCGAACACGTTTCGGCTCTAATACACGGCGATGAGTTCGAGAACGCTCTCTCGTTCTTTATATCGATATTCCGGTGGAACGATCGCGATCGTTTCGCTCGAATGGCTCGCAACGTTAATTTGTTTGCCGCCTCGCCTACCGTTGCTCAGCCGCGTTACGTCGCCTACGGTTTCTCCAAATCTCTTTCTGTTCGTCTCTCTTCGATTAGGATTGTTATTCGGCCTCTTAACGGTACGTTCGTCTTTCTTTCTTTTTTTATTCTTCTTCTTCTTCTTTTCTTCTTTGATTAATCGACGAATTCGATTGTTTGAACTTGGATCGACGGTCGTTTAGCAAAGATCTTTTTGCCATTTCGATTAGATTCGATTCGTTGCGGTCTATTTTCTCGCGGGACGCGTTGAACCTCGTGTCCTTGGTTAATTCTTTATTAGATTCAAACATTTTAGAATTCCTCGAATCGACGTCCGTTTAGCCGACTGAGAATCGGGGCCATTGTTGCACTTGCGACTCTTATTTTCAATCGATTCACGCTCTCCGGTTAAATTTTTTAATCATTACGACATCGTTGATATCTTTCTTTCGTCGCCGTTTCCTCTATCGTGATTTCATAATTTTATTTCGGAAATTTGAAGAAACTGAGATTCGAGTAATCTTGTACATCTTCTAACGATAATTTCTACATTTTTCTCTTTATTGTTTATAACCATTAGATCTTCCGAAGTCATTGTTTTCTCAATTTATTAACGATCGCGTCAATGTAATCAGCCATTCAGGAGCCACGCCGATCGTCATCGTTATTTGAAGATTACATTATTAAAAGTGATGATGCATAAAAGTGATAAAACATTATCTTGAAAATTTACTTTACCTGACTCGTCATCTGTCGTTTCATTCCAGTCCATTAAACAAACGTATAGAAGCAAGTTTTTTTTTTTTTTTTTCTTTCTTTTTTAACGTCGATGCTGTCGAAACGTTTCCTTTCGTACAATTCACGACAGTTCATTTTTCGAGGTTCTCTCAAAGACATACCGAACGGCGTTATATATATTCCTGAAAGATTTTGTTGAAAGTGAACTCGATCGGTTTGGTCTCGTAGAGGGTTGGTTCATTTGTCGGATGATCCAACGATTTTCGTGCCCCCACCAACGCGTCGGCTTTCGTTTCCCTTCGGGTTTTATGCTAATGACGATCGACTCTGTGCGCACGTCTGGACGATCCTAGGCGGAATTTGTTAAAGTTCGTAGGCTGTTGGTTGCGACACGCAGGCAGCAGGCACACGCGTCGTATATTGCGTGCGACGCGTGTGATCAATAAATCGGGCTGTGCAGCACGTACACGAACGCACTGCCGTGTGTACGGACACGTGACGTGCACACTGTTGCGGCCGCGGCCCTAAAACGCACAGCCTAGACGTAACACTGTTCCTTTTTCACGCGACGCGGCGCGACAATGTATCAAAAGCAGCCAGGTCAGAATATTTCGTACGGCGTTGAAAATTTTTCTATAACCAACGGTATTATTATGAACTGCCCCGTCGTCGGTTAACTGCGTCACATTCCTTCTAGAGATTTTGTTACTATTGTATGTGCTAGAAATTCGCCGACGCAGGCGAATTTCGAGTTCGTACGGATGGCGCGCAATGTAGGTTCTGCGTGGAAATTCTACTACGTACGTAGAAAAAAATTCAGCTAGGTAATCTCTTTCCTAGCTTCCTTCCCGTTGTTTTTTTTTTACTTTTCTTTCTTTCTTCCATCTTCCTACTTGATATTAAATTTTTTCAACTTTTGCTATTACGTTTCCCCGAATATTCTGCGATTAATATTCTCCGTTTTCTTTTTCCTTTCTTTTTTTTTTGGCGTTTCATGCTCGGTAATAGATTATCTGGATGTTGAAAACTCATTTTTCGACGATATTTTTTAATCAAAGTTTTCTTCCCGTTAAAGTTTTCGACGGAAACGAAAACTTGGCGAAGGAGACGACGATTTTAGGTAATTGCTTTTTTTTTTTTTGGCAGAATTTTTATCATCACTTTGCCCACTTTGGTTCACTTTCTCCTTGGCCTATCGGGCTTCCCGTCGTTGTTTCTGATAAATTCGATACTGATAATAACTTCCTGGACGAACGGGATGTAGGATACGTAACAAATGCACGCGCATGTATTATCTCAACGAGTAATTCTCTATTTATATCATATTTATACATTGAAATGTTTCCCTCGAACGAGGATTACCTCCACGCAAATCGATTCTTGGTTCGATCAAGGAAAGGAAAGTAAAATTTCATTTCATTTCAATTTGATAGAGGGTTCGTAAAGTAAAATTCTTCAATTGTCTTTCTTTTCGCGACAAATTTGCAACGTTTCTCGTTAGAAATTTTTTGAAATTGTCAATGTTCCTCCTTTCTTTTCTTTCTCGTTCTCTCTTTTACTGGCAATTTACGACGAATCTGCAAGATTGATTATCGCCGGGTCTCCCGTTGGAAACGGAAATCGCACGAGCCCGTGTCTTTCCACATGGCGGCCGATGGTTATTTGATCGATACGAGCCCTCGTCTCTCCGCTTTTCACCGTGAGCATTGCGACCCTTTTATTAATGACTGACTCACACGAATCTCTCGATAAGCCGCGATAGTCACGAGCCTCTCTCGCATTTGGGAACGTTCCACGCACACGAAGGTCGTACTGCGCGCGTATCTTTCACGGACGATTTATTAAGGACGATCCTGCAATTCGTTGTCAGTCGACGGTCGTGTTACATCAACGAAAACGAAAGACAGATAAATAAATCGAAGGAAAGAATTTTGCTTCGTTGTTGTCACGTTCGAATTATCGATTCTCCAATTTCACAAGCTCTCGTAATCCGTTCGCTGCTTTATCATGCTTAACGAAACAGAGAATTACAATGGCAAGGGAGGGGTGGTACGCTGCGTCTCGTGGAATTTATACCAGGGAATCGCTGCTTGAAATCTCGAGACCAGTTACGTTGTCCCGATAACGCGTAAACATGGTCTAATCCGTCGGCGATCGAACCTCGATCGTAGACTTTTATCGTTCCCACGGCTCGCGTTTGATGTGGATCGCGACGTGCACGGTTTTTCCAAGTGCATAGTCGCAGGTTGCTCAGTTGTTAAAAGTACGAAATAAGATACATAACTTGAGCCTCTAGGAAGCTCTGACTAACTTTGCTTTTCAGCTAATTTCTCAACTATGATTGACGCTTAATTTTCAAGGGGCAGTAGATTCATTAAGTAATAGAGTACGAACGATGGATTTAGTGGGTTTAAACGCAAGTTCATTTGTTTCTTTAGCATCTTGTTGCATAAAATTTTCCATCGTCTACTGTTTTCCCCTTATATTTTCAAAGATACAAATTTTCATAAAAATCTACAGTCTAATCATCGCAGGATAAAGTTGTCCAGTGCGACTTTTGGTTAGTTATGCAGTTGGTCTAGGAATGCAACATTTGGAACAGGATATTTGAGTTAATCTTCTTTCTAACTTGATAGCAGTTTAGAAACAAATTCTTTTCGAGCCAATGCTCATCTTCTATTTCCTTCCTAAGTCAATAAATTTTCATTCCGAAACATTCTTTCGTCAAATAAACGAATTTCATG